CCAATCCCCGGCCAGCCGCCGTCGCCGCCGCCGCCGCGATGAGCGTGGTGGGGCTCGACGTGGGCAACGACACCCTGGTGGCGGCGGCGGCGCGGCAGCGTGGGATCGACGTGCTGCTCAACGCCGAGTCCAAGCGCGAGTCGCCGGCCGCCGTCGCCTTCTCCCACAGCGCGCGCCTGCTGGGCGCGCACGCGTCCGGCGCCGCATCCTCCCACGCCCCCTTCTCCAGCCCCAAGCGCCTCCTCCTCCTCGCCTCCCGCCCCGCCCCCCGCGACCTCCCGCGCCTCCCCTTCCCCGTCGACGTCGCCCGCTCCGGCGCCGGCGGGGGCGCCCGCGTCCACGTCGACCACCTCGGCCGCCGCATCGCGCTCTCCCCGACCCACATCCTCGCCATGTTGCTCGCCTACCTGCGCCAGCTCGCCGAGGACGACCTCGGGGCCCCCGTCGCCGACTGCGTGATCTCCGTCCCCTGCTACCTCACGCAGGCGCAGCGCCGCGCCTACGTCGACGCCGCGGCCGTCGCGGGGCTCCGCCCGCTCCGCCTCATGCACGACCTCGCCGCCACCGCCCTCGGCTACGGCCTCTACCGCTCCGACCTCGGCGTCGCCGGGGGCCCCACCTTCGTCGCCTTCGTCGACGTCGGCCACTCCGACACCCAGGCCGGGGTCGTCGCCTTCGACGCGTCCGGGATGAAGGTGCTGTCGCACGGCTTCGATGCGGACCTGGGCGGCCGGGACTTTGACGAGGTGCTGTTCGAGCATTTCGCTGAGGAGTTCAGGGACAGGTATAAGATCGATGTCGTGGGTAATGTGAAGGCGAGCATGAGGCTGAGGGCCGCCTGTGAGAAGGCGAAGAAGGTGTTGAGCGCGAACGCCGAGGCCGTGGTCAACATAGAGTGCCTCATGGAGGAGAAGGACGTGAGGGGGATGATCCGGAGGGAAGACTTTGAGAAGCTCTGTGCTGAGTTGCTGGAGAGAGTTGTTGAGCCGTGCAGGCGGGCGATGGCAGATTCAGGTATTGGATTGGATAAGCTGCAGTCTGTGGAGCTCGTTGGGTCAGGGTCTCGGGTACCTGCTATTGCTAGAGTTCTGGCCGGATTCTTTAGAAGGGAGCCTAGTCGCACAATCAATGTCAGTGAGTGCGTGGCTCGTGGTTGCGCGTTGCAGTGTGCAATGCTTAGTCCCACATTCCGTGTTCGGGAGTATGAGGTATGCATGCCAGCTTTTATCTTGTATAGTCTCTTGTTATATAAGCTTAGTGTGGTACTTGAAGCATGCTGTATTGCTGGCTGTTTACTGAGAAATGTTGCATTTGGTGTATTTCAGGTGCAAGATGTAATCCCTGCCTCAATAGGATTTTGCACAAATGAAGGCCCAATATCAGCATTGACAAGCAACACATTGTTCCGGAGAGGCCAGCCCCTTCCTAGTGTTAAGATAATTACTTTGCATAGGACCAGTGGTTTTACTTTGGATGCTTTTTACGTGGATGAGAATGAACTGCCCCCTGGCACCTCAACACAAATCGGTAGTTTTGAGGTATGCAATTAACTCTCTTGACTGATAAAATGTGATCATGTTTTAGCCTTTTGATCCAGATGTCTCTTTTGTTTTATTTAGCTCTAAGACTCTGTTATCTCCATGTGAATACAATAGCTTCCAAGACAACAGTGTTTCATTTCATGGCACCACTGTTTCTGTAGAACCTTTGATGCTTTCACTCCTTGCTTACAAGTTAATTACAATAACCAGAAGATAGTTTTTTCATGTCTTCTGTTTCATTTCATGGCACCACTGTTTCTGTAGAACCTTTGATGCTTTCACTCCTTGCTTACAAGTTAATTACAATAATCAGAAGATACCTTTTTTCATGTCTTCTGCTGCCTTATCATCTAGACGCCTTGTTGTGTTCACTTAATTGGTGCTTTAGTAGGCAATGGACAATACTCCTAGAATGGATAAACAATCTTGTCAATCATAACACGTGAGTATAAAGATGGTAGTCAATTTGTAGTATCTCTTATTTGGAAGTGCATATCTTCAATGTGTATGCCTGGTAAGTGTGAACCATTGTAAACATTAGTGCTAGAACAAGACAATTGGAACTGTAGGATTTATATTATAGATCACGAAATGATTCTCTTCAGAAACTACTTTGCAACTTCATTCTCTAAAGAGATTGCAACACATATTTTCAACAAAAAAGTATTGTTATGTTTTCCTGTCATCATTGAAGTCATCATATTCACAATGCTGCCTCTCTTCAGTTGACCATGAAACACTAACATGCTGTCTTAACAAATCATAAAATTTCGTCTTGTAAGAGCTCATGTGGTGCCTTTATTGTACCGCAAAGTATCAGGTTGTTTAGTTTCTGATCAAGTGATCATCATTTTGAAAAACATTTTAGATAACTTTTGTGTTCCTAACTCTAGCTGACCTTAATGCACTCAAAGATCAGTGTTGTGCTCTCTCGCATTTTATTTATTTATCCCTGAAACTCTGGGATCCACAGTTTGAATCCTTAATTTCGGATGGACCGGTGGTAGCTTCATACATATTAGGTCATGGTTCGGGACAAAGTTTTTTTTTGGGGTGGGTGGGTTAGGGGTTTTAGGGGCTGGGAGAGGAGGATGTAACATGCACATTTACCTACTGCGGTGACCTCATAATTTGTATGTCGAACCTCTTCCAAAAGCTATGAAACATGTACGCCAGTTGAATCGTGGCACAAGAAATATGCTCACATGCATTGAACGAAGTTACGCTTACTGTTAAATGTTGATGTCTTCCATGATTACTTCTAATCATTCTAGTGTTGTAATTTCCTTATTGCAGATTGGACCTTTCCAAGCACATAGTGAAAAATCTAAAGTGAAAGTAAAAATCCGGTTAAATCTCCATGGACTTATTTCAGTGGAATCAGCTGTTGTAAGTGTCAACTTTCATAGTCACTGCCAGATTTTAGTTATAAGTTGTTCAATATTGTCTTTCTAACCTTTAAACTGCCTCAGTTGATTGACGATGATCAAAGGGATGCAAATTCTGCTGACTCTATGGAACTCGATTCCAATGATAACATGGTAAGGAATTATGCCAGCCCTCCCTGGTCCTAGATCTATGCTACATGTGTTCCTCTAACTAAATTGCAGTATGATGACCAAAGGCATGCAAATTCAGCAGACTTTCACAACTATTGTAGTACATGAGTTTCTATATGAGTATAATTGCCAGCTGGCGTTCTGTGTTGAAGTTGGTAATAAACGTGCTGCACTAACTTGCAAGCATACTCCTTTTGTGGGTACTATATGCAAATCCACTGGCATATATATGATACTTTAACTATTTAAGGTGCTAAATTTTGTGATAATCTTGTTAATCCTTAGCTGGTTGGGATAAGGTACCGTAAGATTATTTATACCTTGTATGTTGAGTATTTGAAATGGGGGAGGGAATACCCTACCAGATGCATAAAATGTTAAAAGTCGAGAAATGATGCAACTGTCATCTTTCAATTATTGCCCAACTAACTAGGTGTGACAACTGTTATTATGTGCAGGATCACAAGTCGAGAAATGAACCGCCAATGCACCGGCAGGACTTGCAAATTGTTGAGTCTATTTATGGCGTAATGAGCAAGCAGGAATTGCTGGAAGCTCAAGAGCAAGAACAACAACTGGCCTATCAGGATAAACTTGTCGAGCGAACGAAAGAGAGGAAGAACGCATTGGAATCCTACGTGTACGACACCCGTAATAAGGTGGCAGTCTGAGAGTGTTTTCCCAATTCCTTTCCCAACCTAAAAGTTCTGTTCTCTGATAAATTGTTTTCTAGCTTTCTGAGAGGTATCGGAGCTTTGCTACTGATTCTGAAAGGGAAGAAATCTCAGTTAATCTACAGCAGACAGAAGATTGGCTTTATGAAGAAGGTGATGATGAGACTGAAGCAGTTTACACTAGTAAACTCGAGGAGCTAAAAAAGGTACAAATGGTACCTTTTGATGTTTTTTTTATCTGCATCAATGGCCCCTTATACACCTTATACATATTTTCTGATATATGTTTTTCAATGTATTTTCTTGTCCTCGGCATTATAGTATTTCATGATTTATCACTTCACCTTTGGGCTTAACTGACATTCAAGTTGTATAGTTTTTATACCTGTTCTTTGTTGTCCATCGTATCCTATCGCACATTCCATGTTAATGCACGGATGATTCCAATGTGTTCTTCCTATTTTTGGACTATGCACCTCTTTGTTGGACTATTTCCTTATGTTTCTCTTTATATTTAAAGCTTGTAGATCCCATTGAATATCGTTGTAAAGATGAGGAAGCCAGAGCTGAAGCTACAAGGGAGCTTCTGAAGTGCATTGTTGACCATAGAATGGCTGCCAAGTCATTATCTGCGCCTGAACGAGATGCTGTAAGTTATTTAACCATTTTTTGTGTGTGCCCTTATTAACACTTGAGTCATTGCATATCTATGTGTGGTCTGCTAGTTTCTACTAACTCAACACGGCGATAAGTTGATCTAAGTTGTAAAGTGAAACTGTTCATGTTCCTTGCAATATGTGTATTATAGTAATTCCTTGAATTACAATAATCAAATGCCAAAAGAGAAAAGGGATGAAGCTTTTGAAATAAACCTAGGTTACTTAATAATGAACACACGAAGTGTTGACAGTAGTTTGTTTTAACTTAGTCTTTCTGTCTGCATACTGCATAGTATCATGCTATATAGAATTCTGTTGCTACTTGCACTTCTGATGACCGGTTTATCTGCCAGATTGACAATGAGTGCACTAAAGTTGAGCTGTGGCTGAGGGAGAGCTCGCAACTACAGGAGTCCTTGCCCAAGAATGTTGACCCTGTAGTTTGGTCTCATGAAATCAAGAAAAAGGAAGAGGAGCTGGACATGTATTTGACCTTTCTTCCTTGAATCCAAAATTTGGCATTTTGTGCTCTTTTGAAAAAATGTTTGGTGTTCCATTCCACGATATCTTAGATTTGGCTGATTCCATTTGCAGGTCATGTAGCAAAATAGTAACTAGCAGGGCACGGGGGCATGACAACGATGATGGATGCTAGCAGGTTCAGATCAAATGCATAAATCAGATAGAGATATTAGACCTTGCTGAGGATTCCCTGCAGAATGGCCATGGCCAGGTTTGACATTTTGTAGAAATATACGGACGTACGGATATCTTCTAACCTTGCCATACGATCAACTCTGTACCACACTGCCCGCCATTGGGTGCCTGCATCTCAGTACACTGACGTGCAGTTTTCACTAGCCATGATTGTTGATACATGTGAATTCTTTTTCTTCGTAATCAGATAAAGGTTGTCGTCTGCTTTAGTTTGATGTGAACGTACAAGATGAGAAATGGAAGCAAATTTGTGTGCAATGTATCTACTTACCAAGGAGTCGTCTGCTTTAGTTTCATGTGAACGAACAAGATGAGAAATGGAAGCAAATTTGTGTGCAATGTATCTACTTACCAAGGAGTCGTCTGCTTTAGTTTCATGTGAACGAACAAGATGAGAAATGGAAGCAAATTTGTGTGCAATGTATCTACTTACCAAGGACCGCATAGTTATAACTTGCTGTATTCATGTATGGAAGATATGATCAATGACCATAGATCTTCATGCTTGAATGTTTTGTTGCAGTGAGATTTTACTTTTGAATGAGTTGATTTTATTGTGGTTTCACTCTCTTAGTATTAAATTTGCATGTTTGTTTAATGTTAGATGAGAAGCAATTCTTTGAATATATCATGGCATTTTTTTCTTTATGTGCTTACAATCATATTGTGCTATTTTTGTGGGAAAGTGCAAGTTCTAACTTGGATAAAACGTTAGAACTTAAATGAAAAGGGAGTGCACAATTTCTAATTTGTGGCAGATGCCAGTGAAGATAAAAAAGGGGAAACCCTAAACATCACGAGTGAAATCAGAAAAATTGACTTGGTTGGAAATATGGGGTTTTATTGCCGCTATGCCTTCGAATCCCCTACAGGACATGGAGAGGGTGCTTTCTTTATAAAAAAGGTATATGAGGAGACGGGCTGCCCCTAAGAAGACAACGGGAGAGGGAAACCGTGAGAGAGAGACGCTTTTGAGAGAACATATTTGTTTGATAAACTGAAGAGATAAACTATTCTCAAGGGAGGACGTGCGGAAGGCGTTGTTTCAGATTGGAGACATGAAGGCCCCTGGTCCGGACGGCCTGCATGCTCTATTTTTCAAGAGATTTTGGCATATTCTTGTAGAGGAACTAACAAACGAGGTTCTTGATGCGATTAACAATAAAAAAAATTCCTAGTGGTTGAAACCAAACAAATATTGTCCTGATCCCAAAGGTTGAGAACCCGGAGGTAATCACTCAATACAAACCTATTAGCCTGTGCAATGTTGTGTACAAAATCATCTCCAAAATGCTGGCAAATAGGTTGAAGAAAATCCTACCGGATGTTATTTCACCAACCCAAAGTGCTTTTGTTCCGGGTCGGCTAATTACGGACAATGTGTTGGTTGCCTATGAGTGTTTCCATGCAATTAAGAAAAAGACCCACGGCTCAAACGGGGTTTGTGCAGTGAAACTTGATATGCTGAAAGCTTATGACAGAGTAGAATGGGAATTTTTGAAACAAATGATGCTGAAGTTGGGGTTCCACTCTTTTTGGGTGGAGTTAATCATGGAATGTGTGACCTCAGTAAGTTACAAAGTGAGATTTAATGACACCGAGACTGAAGAATTTATACCTATTAGGGGACTGAGACAGGGGATCCTCTGTCCCCTTATCTATTTTTGTTGTGCTCGGAGGGCTTATCTTGCTTGTTAGCCCATGAGGAGGATATTGGCGGAATTGAAGGTATTCTCGTATGTAGAAATGCTTCATCTATATCCCATCTCTTGTTTGCTGATGATTCCTAGATATTGATGAGGGCCAATGCCCATAATGCACACACCTTGAAGAGAATACTTACCACATACTGCAGTAGCTTTGGGTAGCAGGTTAGCACTGCTAAATCAAGTGTTTTTTTCAGTCCAAACACCAATGTCCATGTCAGAGAAGAGATTTGCAGGGAACTGGATATCTTAATAGAAGCCCTTTCTAACAAGTATTTAGGTTTGCCTACGATGGTTGGAGTGGATCGAAGTGACTGCTTCCAGCATCTCATTGATAGAATTTGTCAGAGATTGAAAGGGTGGAAGGAGAAGACTCTATCTATACAAGGGAAAGAGATCTTATTAAAATCAGTTGCACAGGCGATCCCTACTTATGCCATGCCTGTGTTTAAACTCCCAAAAGGGACTTGCAAAAATATTACTGATGAGATTGCGGGGTTTTGGTGGGGAGATAATGAGGAGAAAAAGAAATTGCATTGGTTTGCATGGTGGAAGATGTGCATCCCAAATAGGAAGGGTGGTATGGGGTTTAGAGACCTTCACAGTTTTAACCTTGCTTTATTAGCAAAACAGTGTTGGCGACTTCTCCAGAATCCAGATTCCTTGTGTGCACGTGTTCTGAAAGCTAAGTACTATCCAGATGGTGATATTCTCAGTGCGGGCCCCAAGAAGGGTTCCTCGTTTACATGGCAGAGCATTGTTGCGGGCATTCAAACATTCAAAAGGGCTGTATATGGCATGTTGGAACTGGCTCAAGAATTGACATTTGGCAAGATCCTTGGATACCCTCTAGTGAATCCAGGAAAGTGATTACGCCTAGAGGAGGGATAATGTTGAATAAAGTGGAAGAACTAATAGATCCACACTCAGGTTTGTGGGATGAAGAACTTGTTCGTTCAGTTTTTTCAGTTGTGGATGCACAAAGAATTTTACAAATACCACTGAGGGTTGAGGTGTTCGATGATTTTGTAGCTTGGAATGCTACGCGGTCTGGTACTTTCTCAGTTAGGTCCGCTTACCATGTTGAATTTGAACACCAGTTCGGACACCAGTGGCGTTGGGGAGATGGTCAGGGTGGTTCTCAGTTGAATGATATCTGGAAGACCATTTGGGCCCTTGTTTTACCCGAGAAAGTGAAGCATTTCATCTGGAAAACATTAAAAGGAGTCCTCCCCTGCTTTGGAACCTTACCTAATCGCCATATTCCGTTAAGTGCACAGTGTCCACATTGTAGGATTGGTATGGAAGATATCCAACATTGTCTCTTTGCGTGTCCTCGAGCGATGGAAGTTTGGTCAGAACTTGGCCTTGAAGACGACATTTGTCAAACTATTTCTGAAGATCGGTCAGGACCTGTAACCATGGAGATTCTATGCAGGGCTCAAGGTGTTTCGAACGAGCTCCCAAAAGCAGAGTTGATTGCGGTTTCAGCATGGTATATTTGGTGGCAACGCCGTCAGTTTGTGAGGGGGGTAAGCATACAATCCCCTGATCGTACAGCCACATCGATCAAAGTACTATGTACTAATTTTATCCGAGCATCATCGCCCAAATTTCCGGTGCGTAAGAGGGAGCATATGTGGTGGAAACCAGCAGCGGGAACGGTCAAGATAAATGTGGATGCATCCTTTTGTTCTGAAAACATGTCAGGGGCTACGGGAGCTATTGCTCGAGGCGATAAAGGTGATGTTGTTGTTGCTGCTTGCTGGTTCATTCCCCATGTTAGCAGTGTGGACTCAACAGAAATTCATGCAGTATGCAACGGTATAATCCTTGCACTCCGGATTGGTTGCAGCTCAGTGGTTATTGAGTCTGATAGTACAAATGCAGTTCAGATTTTCAACCAAGGCGATGAGTTCTTTGGACCAGATGTTGCCATAGTACTAGAATGCAAACAATTAACAGCAGATCTTACAAATGTGGAATGTATCCACTGCTTCCGAGAGGCCAATGAAGTAGCAGATAGCTTAGCAAAATTCTCTTTCAAAAATAGATTTTCCGATTTTTGGAAAAGTTCTATACCTGACTTTGTTTCTCACCTTATTGTAAATGACTTGGCTATCATATGAGAAATAAAGTTTTAAGTTATAAAAAAAAACTATGTTGCGTATCTTCCCGTCGGAGAGAGATAGAGAGAGGGAGGGAGAGGGAGAGGGAGAGGGAGGGAGAGAGAGAGAGAGAGACCGCAAGCAGGAGGATTTCCATTCCCGGCAGGCATGCCACCGCTAAGCTAGCTCTCCTCTCCTCTTCGTCCAATGCTCCTTTTGCTATGGCCTAGGGCACAATGAACTTTTTTGTAGTCCCAAGTTATTTAAAGTAGAAAAAAATGTAAACGGAAAAGAAAAAAATGAAATTTAAAAAACAGGCCGTCCGGACATGGGCCAGCCAAAACAGGTGTGCTGCATCTTCTCCCAGCGCGCAAAGCACGGTATACGAGGTCCTTACTGCATGGGTCGGCCCAGGCGGGAGATTCCCCTGTGTGAAACGTTTTTTTATCACTGATAAGTGACATAGGTGGGTATTTTGCAACTTTGGGGCAATTTCCGTGATGTATATACTTTTTTATGCGAGTATATATATACCACTTCTTATGGAAGAACATAATTTTTTTTATTTTTTGACAGAGTATATATACTGCTATTTGCATTGTAATTTATAGTTTTTTCTGCATACAAGTATGTACTATTTGTGCGAGACAAATATATACTACTCTTTTTTTTATAAGGGCTATATGCTACTTCTTGTATGAGTATGTACATGTTTTATATTGTAGTATATATTACTACTATGTTAGTCTGGAAGCATATACCTTTTGTTGAATATACACTCTTTTTTTTCAGTGGGGGTATATATATACCGCATATTGCGACTCTTTTTTTGGGTAAAGGAACATATGCTATTTACATCAATATACTTCACAATATAGTTTACTTAGAATGAAGTATAATCCACTTGGAAATATAAATAAGTACAAACTAAGGAGTATTCAGAATGAAGATACCAAAAAAAAAGGTATACTCCATTCGAAAGGAAGATTGAGCAAAAACAGGTGTAATTTGTATCGCACTGAGCAAACAATAGCATGAATAAAAGAGTAAGAAACCATATGAAAACAATGGGGGTGTTAATTTTTTTTATATGACGCCAAGCACACAAGGCTTCCGCGAAGCAA